GCCTTGTTTGGCTTTTTGTCTTGCACGTGCCCCGTTTGTTGTCTTCGCCTTATCCCGGTTGGATAATATAACCCGGGGAAAATGAGAAAAAAAGGCTATACATATGCGTTTAGGCCTGAGGCTGCTTAACATTCATTTGGTCAACTGCCCTGCCCTTATAACTACCCCTCTTCCCTATTTGTTTTTTTGTTTTTTTCTGGGTGGAATCCCTCCACTTTTTTTCACCCAGTTTTCTTATCGCTCGGCCATGCGACGCGTTTTAAGTAGCCGCCAATGCGTTAAATTGTGTTTTGTTATTATCAGAGACTTTGTGGCTCTCCGCGTCCATATGACACTTTCTTTTGGGGGTCTGGGGTTGAAGGGAGTGGTCTGTGGGACTTGAATCGAAGATGGCACTGGAAAAAAAAGAAATGAATATAATATATGTTGAAAGGGTTAAAGAATAAAGCTTAGATTTGCTGATAATATTATTTTTTTTCGTTTTCCAGTAATAATTTTATGATTTCCTTTTTAAATATTACATTTAAAATATTGTATTATTTAAGAAAAAAATATTATGCTATTATTCAGGACTTTAAAGTTTAATTGTTTATATTTTAATTAAATTTTTAAAATAATTTTTTAACTTTAAATACAAATAAATAATAATAAACAATACTTTCAGTGTATTGATAGCCCATAAAAGGCGTTGAAAGCGTTTACACCTGCGCTTCCAGGGGGTGGCCGCTCCCTCCTTCGTACACCATACACCCCCTACTCTCGCCACCCTCATCCCTCACCTATACAAAATATGTATATGTATGTGTATTCATGTGCCATTGCAAGTGTGCGTGTATTGTGCAATTTATTTTAACGGCTCACGCTTTTGGACCCTGAAAACCGCTTTTAATGCCCCAAGCGCGTCGAGCTAATTTTGTGGCATTTTTATGCCACCCCCCTTCCCCCCAAAGGAATCCATCCACCCTACCCCCCCTTTCGCATATCCTTGGAGAAGTCCCAGCTGTGCGATCGCTTCTCATTTGTGTCTGCTCGGGTGTTTTGTTGCCATATTTCTTTTGTTTCTGTTTTTGAACGATATTACAGCGGTAATTAGATTATAAAATATCCCATAAAATATGCATGTGTCATGCATTGTGTCCTTTTATGGTACTAAAACACATGTTAACCGCATACATTTTGCATTTGCTCGGAGTCCTAAGTGCGCTTCCTTTCCTTTCTTTCTGCTTTTTTTCGCTTTGGTCAATTTGATGGCAGCGAAAGCGTTTAAAAGCCATGAAAAGGCATCTAAAACCATATCTGGGGAGCGTGTAGCTGCTACCAAACAAATTTGCAAATTAAGCAAATCAAAGGTGGGTGGTTTTTGGTGGGCAAACAGAGTCGGAGTCAAAGTCAGTGCCGGTGGCAGGTGGCAGGTGGGAGGGTCAAAGGGCCAAACGTAACGCAGTCGGCGCTAAAAGCGTGGCAAATGAATAAGTAATCAGGAAGTAGCGAGTCACTTTTTACGCCGAATTACAGGGTATCATTAGAAGGTGACAATTGAGAGTATTTACATTTAGTTTATTTATTTACTGTTTATTTTATTAATATTTTTTAGTCATTATTTAGTAATAAAATAAATATATACATGCATACTTTACATTTAAATAAATACAAGTCAGTTAAAAATATTTTATAATTATATAAAGTGATTTAATACAGTTTTAAAATATTTTTAAAAATATAATTCATTTTAGTAAGTATTTTTAAGCGTTCTTAAAATTTATAAATGGTACGTACCCTAAAAAAAGAGGTGGAAAACCCCCATATCTTTGATATAATTTTGAAATTTTGAATGCCTTTTCTAAAGTTTTTGATTTATTTTAGATCATTATTTTGTTATTGAGGATATATATTCTAGGATATCCTAGAGTCCCTTAGACTTCCCTTTGATTTCGAACTCCCTTTTGCACGGCCAGAAAAAACCTTTTGATGTATTTGTCCGACTGAGTGGAAGGTCCATCTGGTGCCGGTTTGGTTCCTCGCCTGGCTGGCCTCTCCACTTTGCCCAAAAGGCGAATGGCGGCGAGGACATTAGGACTCATATAATATGGTTATATTCATAAAATATGAACTCCCTGCTTGACTCCGGGTGACAACTACCGAGCTCTCCGCTAACTGCCAACTGCTGACTGCTAACTAGCTTTGTATTTCAGTGGCGTTTTTGAAGCGTCTTGCGGGCTAACAAAATGCTGGTCGGGGTTTTGTGGGCAGGCGAAAATGGGGGGAAAATGGGTTTTCCGGCGGGTCAGAGGGGCACTAGCCACATAAGTGTTTGTGTGTGCGGCAAATTATATTTGTACATTAAGTTTTCCCATCCGCGGCAGTTGACTTTGTTCAGCATCCTTGTGGCCACCGCCGTCGCCGCCACTGCCGCCTCTTCCTGGCCCCGATTCTCGTTCGCTCCTCGACGCTGTCCTTGTTTGCCACAAAAATTCCTAAGAGCTCATTAATTATTGAGATACTATAAACAAGCTGAAGCCCCCTGTCTCGGCTCCCTTTGCTCTGGAAACGAAGTCAAGCTCGTTTGCGGCTGCCTACAGCCCAGACATGTTTTGCAACCACCCATCCCAGACACCAGCCCCCCCCATTGGGGGCAGCCTCCAGCCTCCACCCATCAAATGAAAGTGGACAGTTTTTCTTTTGTATGCCCTTTCTGGCATGACGGAGTGTTTTGAATTTGAAATATAGAAAATTGGATTGCAGGAAATTCTTTATTCACAATTTACCACAGCAAAAGGGAAAATTTATTGGATTCTTTGGAAACAAGTGCAAAGAGGCATCTATAAATATTTAAATTTTAAACTCTGTATGAAAAATGATCGAGATTTTATATTACCTCTTGAAAATGCATTAATTTTATATAATTTATAAATACAAACATTCTAATTGGAAGATATAAGAGTTTTCTTTAAAAATTTATCCAAAAAGTATGCTATAAAATATATATATATTTTAAATGGAGGCTTGAAAACTAAATATATGATGCTGATCAAGAATATATATATATTTTTAGGTTCGAAAATGACTCCTTCATTGCGTTGCAAGCTTCCAAATTAAATAAGTTACTTTATGACTTCATTTATTTATTTTTTATACAACTTATTCTTAAAAAAATACTTTAAAAAATTAAGAGTTATCTTTAGAGTATGACCAACTTCGTCTTTCCTTTGATAGTTTTTCCTGTGCACCGTGCTCCACCCCACCACCCCTGCTGAGCCACCTTAAGGCACTTGCTTTCATTTCATTCCCGTTGCCGCTTTTACTTCATTTTACTCACCACAAAACTCACTAACACTCACTGGCACACGCACACGCAAGGCATACAACCAAACATTCTTCCACACACACACGTGTGCCGCTCGCTTTATTCATAATTTATGCCAAAAGCACATTGGGCTTCACTCCTCTCACTGCTGCTTCTTCCCAGGCGTTTCCCTTTCCTCTAACGAGCACCGGAAATGCCACCATGCCACCATATATGAGTGTGTGTGTGTGTGTAAGAGAGTGTGGGGATTCCTTTGGGGCATCCGTTGTGGAAGGAGGTCGGTAAAGGGGCTAAAGGGGGAGGCGGGGAAGTGGCAGGCGCAGGCAGACGACAATGCGTGACAATAAGAGGCCACGGCTGACACTTGAACTGCGCTCTTATTGTCATTTATTGTTGTTGTTTGGGCACTGAAAAAAATATCTTTAAAATATTTAAAAAATCATAAATAATATTTAAACTTTCTAGTTTTTATTACTATAAAAAAAAGGTACAGAAAACTATTCAAGGAAATGTTGAAGAGCAAAAAATGGACTTTGTTTTGTAAATATAACATTTTTCCACCCATAGATTTTAAATTGTAAAAGTACACTGTTATTTTAATAATGAAATATTCATATAATTCAGAATTTAGACAATATTTTTCTTATAAATAGCATCTAAACAAGACAACTTTTTCTACAGTGTAAGAACCCAACCCCAATTTGCACACTCTTTTTCATAGCGGCGAATGCAGTTAGCCCACCTCCCCGGCGGACCCCCTGCTGTTTGGGTTTTCGGGAGCGGGTCCTGTGGGTGGCATATCATTTTTTTCATCTTCCCTTTTCTTGAATGCCGCCGCAGAGTGCTAAATTGCACACACACACACACCAAAACCCCACTCCGGCACATATGTTTCCCCGAGGGAAGTCAGCATTATGGGGCGGAGGGTGTGTAGCATTAGTAATAATATTTGACCCATGCACTGCAATTAACGCCGCACACAAAATAGACAACAAACCAAATTGGGACACACACCACACCACCGGAGCTCTGGGCTCCGGGCTTCCAACTGTATAATTGTTATTAAAAGGGACAGGGAGAGGGGGGAATGGCGGCGCACATAACTTACACGAAACTGTTCCTTAAACTATTTGATAACATTTTATTCATACGTATATGATGGGACAGGCATTTCGGCCAACAAACTTTCAGTGTTTATGTGGGGCAAGCATTTCCAGTAACACAAAACTTTAGCATTCAGCATGAATTTCGCAGAGTTTGGGATATAGAATTGCAAATAGAAGGACTGGGATTGAGCAGTAGCCAAGTCCAATTAGAAATATATCCGGAATGTCAATATTTGACTGGTGTTTATCAGCAGGAAGCCTAGAAGATGATGATGGGGTAGGGGTACTAGGATATTATTATAATTTCAACAAATAATTGTTAAGCTAGCAAGAAATGATTTAATTAAAGTTAAGCACTTGTTTTGTAAATTAACTATCCTACTTCTACCTAAATAAAATAACTTTTCTTATAGGTTTCTGATAATAAACATTTTCTGACAAAGGTTTAAGCTTCTTATTTGACTTAACATCCATTAAAAAACGGTAGTAATATCTCTAATCTATTTAAAATTACTTATAAAATTAACAAAGTAACCTGTGACATTATCTAAAATTTAAAAACCTAAACTTTATCCCAATCTAGTAGGTTCTGAAACCATTTTCAACCAGATATCAGTACAGCTCCAAATAAAAAAGTTCAGTTCATTTTCAACGCTTGAGCGAGCAAGTTTGGTGATTTTTTTGACCAGTTACAAACAAATAAAATATAAAAGAAATCCACCGGTAAATGTGATTATTTTATTTCCCCATAAAAATAATAGTTTGTGTATTAATTCTCACAGATCTGGCTTTCTTTCGTAAACTTTCGTCATCTGCCAAGATGCCGCTGCCACGTGTTTATTTTGACATCGCCGCCGGGGACACGAAAATCGGACGAATTGTGATGGAACTGCGTTCCGATGTGGTGCCCAAGACGGCGGAGAATTTCCGGGCCTTGTGCACCGGCGAGAAGGGCTACGGCTACAAGGGCTGTCCCTTCCACCGGGTCATCCCAAACTTTATGTGCCAGGGCGGCGACTTCACCAGACAGAACGGCACCGGAGGACGCTCCATCTATGGGAATAGCTTTCCCGACGAGAACTTCCAGCTGAAGCACACGGGACCGGGCATCCTCTCGATGGCCAATTCCGGAGCCAATACCAACGGTTCGCAGTTCTTCATTTGCACCGACAAGACCGCCTGGCTGGACAATAAGCACGTTGTGTTTGGCCAGGTGGTCGAGGGCATGGACATTGTCCAGAAGGTGGAGTCCTATGGATCGAACAATGGCAAGACCAGCAAGAAGATCATAATCGAAGACTGCGGTGCCCTTTAAAAGAAGCCAGTATCTACACGAATCACTACGAACTCTACAAGCTCTGCTACTAAACACACACGCCACACCACGCTCGCATTTCACGCCACTTTTCGACTCATTTTAGACTCACTTTAGACTCACTTTAATATCGAGCTTAACAGGTCGAACGGAACAGAAAAATATACAGACTTTGCTATCGAGCTTTACACTTGGATTGGAGAAGCAAAATACATTTACACTTAAAAAGCTAATACAGCGAAATGTTACACATTTGATCGGAAGAGAAAAAATATACAAAATACATACGCAAAACAAGTTAGAATATTTATTAGGATTTTAAAAGAAAAAGATAAGACTCTGCTTTAAAATTTCCGAGTTTAAGTGCTTCTATTTCAGGTGTTTTCCTTGTAATCCTTATTTTTGATCTTTGTCCGAATTTCCAGCATTTTTTAGACCCCAGCAAATCACTCAACGAACTCTTAAAATCACATACCACTCGGGCAAACACTTTCCCTCTCGCCTGTCCTTTGCTTTTCCATCTGCTGTTTGGTTTTCTTGTATTTTCCCCAGACTCCATTTTCCTTGGATGCCATTCAAATCGCCAATCGATTGCGTTTGCCTTTGCGCCTGCATTTCCCGACCTCAATGTCCGATTCCGTCCTAATTCCGATCCCAACTCTGCCCGGGCTCCTCCGTGTCCCTCTTGCAGGCCTCGGCCATTAGGCCGTCTGTGTAATTTGAGTGCAAACACTTTTTTTTCGGCTTGGGGGAAATCTATGTGATTCGCTCTGTGCCGAAACTCACTTGCAAAAATTTTCTTTTGATTTGTGTGCCTGGGCGAATCTGGCCCTTGAACACTCTCCTTTCCTTCGCTCGTATTTTCTACACTGAAAATTAAATTTCAAGTAAATTTTATCAATATATAATATTAAATTCTGTGAAGAATTGGTTTTATAAGAGTTTTAACAATTATATAAATTTATTTTATATGTCAATTCCTTTTTTAAAAACCTCTTTTGCCATAAGGAATTTAATACAAAATAAGTTCTTTGTCTTCAGAAATCTTCACAGTGAGCTGGGATATATATGTCACAACTATAAATATTAAATATAGATTTAATAAATAAAATATTCTAGTTTTTCCCCTGTAAAGTCTCTCCCTATCTTTTCTTTCTTTCTCCTATATTGTAGGTCAATCGTGCTGTTTCTTTTTCGCTCTTCTTTTTTTTGCGTATGTGCGTTCTTCGTACACACACGTCACTACAATTGGGGCGATGGAAAAGAAACGGGGGAAAAGTGCTGGGGAAAAAGGGGCGATGGAAATGTGATTGTGACAGTGGGCGTGCCAGTCAGCCACGCCTACCCCCAGTTGTCATGCCAAATGCAGTGCAATCTCCTCTATGCGACACTCGCCATTGCCTTGTACAGTGAAGGCTTGTTAAGAAGTATTTCCATTAAAATATCAGTAAAAAAATGTGCACATGAAAAGCAAATATATTTTTAAATATTTTTGTATAAAAACCTATGAAGATTTAGAATATTCTTCTTACTAAGAATACATTTATATATTATTTTAGATATAATTTAAACCTTTAATTAGCCAAATACGAACTCATCTTATGCCGGAATAAACAATTTAATAAAAATACGTCTGATTTCTTATAAAGATTTCCCACTTTTTCCTAGTTCATTAATTCCTTATTTATGTCTTCATATATATTCCACCTTTCTAGGATTTCTTATTACCGACACCCCACTGTACTTCAACCCTTTTACTGTTTGTTTTGCATGCAAACGTCTCGAACAATAAATTCGCTTGCATTTTTCCAAACTAAAAATTTGTGCCTGGCCGCCTGCCCCCAAACCCCCCTTTGACCCCACTTATTCAAAAGGGGCACGGCACCCCTGACCACACTAGGCCAAAAAATGTGCCTGTCGCCTGCTGCCACCGCAGGACACAGTGCATATTTGATTTTATCTGTTAACTCTTTTAGCCACAAATCTACACAACTGCCCCAATGCAGCCAGAAATGCGTTCTGTTGGTTTTGGGCTTAACCCACTTGCATGTCCCTGAATTCATTGGGGTGCAGCACCCAACCCCACCCACCCAAGGACTGGATGTGACAGTGCAGGCCGCCGCCGTTCCTGTTTTCTCATCCGATGATGCCAATGTCCAGCGAACGCTTTTGGCATAAATGCATGCATCCAATCCCCCACACCAGATATGTGCATATATATGTATATGTTATATGGGGCATATACCCAGCCCGATCCTTGGTCTCTCCGGTGGTTGGAAATGGCAGTTGTGGCCACCCAATTTGTTTTATGGCACACAGAATGCAGCCTCTCATTGTTATGCCCCAGAGAAGTGCCGAAGAACGATATGGGGGTCGCTCTCCAGGGGAGTATAATGGGTACGTGATGGGGTTTGTAAGCGTTTAACGCCAGGGGTTAGTTCCAGCAGCTCAGGTTGATAAGAGGTTAATGGTTCTGCCTAGGTGGTTTGCATGTGGGGATGCTCATAAATGGGTTCAGCATAAAAATTTAATAAGGAAGTACACCAAGGGTGTTGGGGAAAACCCTCAGGAGAGTTACAGACAATTGTAAAAGTTACTGGAAGTTGGTAAGGAATTTTCTAGATTTTTTTATTGATTGAAAAAATAAATAAAATATAAGGAAGTTCTTGGAAAATATCCCTGGGGTCCTTCAAAACGAAAGAAAGTTGTACAAAAGCAATGTTGGTTTTGTTTACAGAGTTAAATTTATATTTCGGCCTACTTTCTTCAGGTTATAAACATCCAAAGCAGTATTTTGCTTTCTATAAATAAAAGAAAATTATATTAAATATTTCCCATATTTCTGAGAGCATTTCCAATTCGTTTTCATTCATTTCCCTTTTCATTGTGGACTGAATTTTTGCGTGTGCGGGTCACATCGAAATTTATTGTTTATTGTGCAATGTGCAATTCATATTTTGTCATATTTTGCGGCCCAAACGTTGGCGAGGCTTTTGAGTTTGGGTTTGATTTTGATTTGTTGTTCCTTCGGCATTGTGTTTGATTCATCCCGCATAAAATGTAGTTCATGTTCATCAGCAGTTGAGCGGACGCAAATATGGCAGCGAATTGTTTTTTTGGGGAATTTTCAATTTGCATGGCATGATTCGGTAAAAGGATATTCGAAATTTCCGCTTTTGTCAAAATGCAATATGGAAATGTTTGAAACGGGGATTTGATGGCTCGAAATGAGGGAAATCTTGTTTGGATTTTGATGCCAGAAATTGTGAACAAAGGACTTGACAAGCAATTAATTTGGTAAACCAATGATGGCAAGTACTAGTAATTAGCTCGTTTAAAGGGTTGAAAATATTTACTAAACTAGATATTAATTTATAAATATTATTATTATCAATACCCCCTACCTAAACTCCTTTCTTTAAATATTCAAAACATTTCCATTGGTAAATAAGTTTGGCCAGCAATAAAACCCTAAATGCATTTAAAAACTATTTGATTTGTTTTATTTATTTGCTCAGTTAGTTCAATGTTTTGTTTATATTTATTCTCTTTTCCGGTTGAGTGCCCCATAAAATATAGTTCAACTGCATCAACTTTCAGTGGCCGTCATTGTTTGATTTTCAATATGAGAGCCGGTTAAAACAAAGAGCAACTATAAACAAAAATAAAAAATATATGTATATAAGTATAGTAAAATAGTGAAATTGTTTTTACCCGAAATGCCACGTTCCCTGCTGAGTGGACGCTGTCCGCATTTTGTTGCCTTTTGTTTGCCATTTTCTTGCAAATATTTTAGACAAACAGCCGGAGAATGTTTTTTGCTCGACAAGCCCGAGGAATAAAGTCAATGCAAAGCAAAGAAAAATATAAACAAAACTGACAGCCCAGACAGACGCACACACCACACTCCTACACACACACACCCCCAATGATTTGTTTGCCTCTTCTTCCAGTCTATCATGTTACAAATTGTTCAAGTGCGCCTGATATTGGCAAAGGAGCGGAAAAGTGGGGGCCAACGAGACTTTGTCTTGGCCACGTTTGTTCCACTCGCCTTTGTCCACATGCCTGTGATCCACAGTCGAGGTGGGAATAATAGGGAAATTGTAGGGAAAAAAATGGATTTTTTGGATTTTAAGCAATAAATATAGCTATCTTTTATTACCTAAAATATTTGAAAATTACCATCTCCTATATTTGTGACACCATCTATTGGTATTACCAACCCAACCCCACCCCCACATATATAGTCTACCTTCCTTAGAAATCATCCAAGTGTGTGTGTGTGCATGTCCTGGGTGGAAAAGAGGTTGGTGGGCAGGAGGACGAACAAAAGTTTTCCAAAGACAAATAAAACTGTTAAGTGAACTCTTGAATATTTGTTGCTGGCATCATCGTCAAGAGAAGAATCCTGCCTAGACGCAGGGAAGAACGAGTGAAATGAGAACGTAACTGGTTAGAGGGAGCTGCTGTCGAAGGGCTTGTAAATATCAAATTTGTAAATACATATACAAAATACGGGCATGTTTAACATTTGCAAACATTTGTGCGCTTCAATCGGTTGACCTCCCCAACAGTTTTTCCCCTTCAGTTTTCCAGCCACCCTCCTTATCATGTGTCTCCCCTATCGAAAAATGCCTGTAGTTACATTCAATTGAAGCTCCTTCATGTCTCATCCAAGAGGATAAGAGCTTAATATGTGGATTTTGTAAGGGATTGATCTGGGAATTTTTGTATTTATTTGTATTTTGTTTAACTTTAAATTTGTTATAAAAGATTCTAAGCACAAAAGATTTGTATACCCTTACAGTATGTATTTCAGTCAGAAGTTTGCAACGCAGTGAAGGAGACCTTTCCGACCCTATAAAGTATATATATTCTTGATCAGCATCAACAGGGGAATCTTTCTAGACATGTCCGGAAGAAATTGATTTTTTTGCCATTTTTGCGAAATTTGATAAGGGGTTACATCATTAAAATTAGCAAAAATGGCCAACAATTTTGATTTCTTAAAATTTTAAATTTGGTATGCAGTTTTTTAAAATTAATAAAAACTAACACAAAACTGCTTTCCGAATCGAAATTAATGCATTTTTGGCTTAGTTATGATATATTTTAATTGTTACCTGCAAGGGTATACAAACTTTGGCTGGCCAAAGTTAGCTTTCTTTCTTGTTTTAAAGTAAATTTCTAATAAAAAATCCTGTAATAAACTTGAATGCACTTCCCTTGGCTGCTATTCCCTGCTTTCCGGGATTAATTCGATTATTTATATGGGCATAAAGCCCCACTCG